CATTGTCTAGTTTCACAAAGTGCTATCTAATCAGTCTTGTTTTGAAACAGGAATTACCCACCCTAGGTTTGCTATGGTTGGAACTACTTGGGGAATTTTATTGTCACCTCTTGCTATTATTCAAGAGTCTAGCAATTTAAGACTTTCTTCCACCCATCAAGCATTGGTTAGCAAAAGGAACTACTGACTGTTTATTGGATTTGTCTTACACAATGCCACTGCCCCAACACAAAGTCTACTCCCAAGGAAAACTGCACCAGTTTTATCTAGCACTGTACTACTTAAAGTTCATATAGTTAAAAATCAGTGTGTGCTGTGTTCATATTTAATTACACAATAAGGCAAAAGGCCTGATTGTTACACCCCTTACCTCAGGGTAAAATAGGGTTAGCTGAACAAAACAGATGAATCAGGCTCAATTTTTTAAAATTACAATGGGTATCTATGCCCCTTAACCTCTGGAGACTAGGGGCAGATCTACCCTACAAATAACCATACCCCTAACCAATATGTCTATGCTGGTGCAAAAAACAAACCCTGTGTAGATTCAGCTATTACAGCAACACCGCCTTGAGCATAGTTTGTCATACAGGGGAGGTGGTTTAACTACATCCGCAAAATAACTTGTTTTGCCAGTACGTGTTCTCTTAGCCAGATAGCCAAAGCCCTCTAGCGATACTGGAATAGCTGTACCAGCAAAACCTTTGTAGTGTAGAATAGTCCTAGCGCTCATATCCCACTTCAGACAAGAGTGAAGCTCTTCTGGTTGGCCGAGGTCTTGTCCTCGGTCAAAATTTTTCTGTCAGAGAATTACCCTACAATTGGCAAAATTGTCAGTCTCTTCCTGTTTTGGACTGGGACTTTAATACATTGGAGTGTGGGAATGCCTACACAACACAAGCCTGCCTGAACTACAACTTTGTCCAGTACCCACTTAACTTTTTAAGATTTAATTGTTCCTAAATGGAAGGCTTTTCACAACCCAGTCATTTAGCAGAGAAGTAAAATGCACAGTAAAATTGGATTATCCAGTTACTGTCAGAACAATATGTTAAATGTATAGTCAAAATACATAAAGAGACTAACAACCTTAATTCCACTACCTGCCAACACTTCAGCCTCTTAAGAGACACATTTTTCTGAACCAGAGTCATAAGCTCCAGCTGGCAATCTGATACTGAGGGGCCAAGACTTTTTTATCCAACCCCTGGTGGCAAGCATTTTCGGAGTAGACTTTCACAGCTTTCCTTTTACAAAAAGGAGTAAAAAGTGGACAGTGGCCCTTTGTCTACAACTTCACTAGACAATGGGGAGAAGCAGGTGAAGAGAAATAATACTTCTCAAACTCAGGTCAACTAACCCCTTCCACTCTTGGCCTTTCTGTGCCTGTCTTTTACATTATAAATTCCTTAGGAAAGCAACTGTGTAATAATAAATATCACTTAACACAATGATAATATGCTGCAAATTTTACAGTTTTAATAGTGTGCTTCAAATGGATCATTTCATAACTTAGTTAGGCCTAAACTTGGACCAAACAATGTTATAAATGCATTAAGGAACTATGCTGTAGGGGTATGCATTTAAAGCCCAGTTTGGTCCCATCATCTACAAAGTCAATCCATGTTGTAAAATGGCAGCAGTACTGCTATAGTTAAATACAGTACCATTTAGCACAGATGGGGCATAAGAATGGATGAAGATATTTCTTAGGGCCTGTCCACTCTAATGTCTTTGTAACCAGTTTAGGGCAAACTCATCTGACCCAAATTACAACAAGCACAATTTTGTTCACATGGCAGGCTTTCCCACAGCAGTCATATAACACACCTAATCAGGTAGTGCACAAGGACTGACCTAGGATCTCTGGATCTAAAGGCATGTACCTCTGCCTGAGCTCAACAATCCGGTCCATTAGCACAGAGCCAGTAGCAAACTCAAACTTCTCTGTGGCCTAGCTACAAGAGAAGGACAAAAAGCTACACTGATAGTCTGGATTACATGTGCACAAACCAATTTTGTAAGTTTGTAGCCCATGGGTGAATGTTATACATCCCCTTTGTGCCCAATTCATAGAGGATATGAGTAATTAAAAGCCCCTACTTACAGAACTTTAGCTCTATCTGGAGCAGCTCATGCTTTTAGTGCTGAAGTTCCCTGGTTCCATGCCTGGTGTCTCAGCTAAGAGGATATCCATCACATGGCCACAATTACATAGCTGCTGAATTATGTTTCTATCAGTGCACTGAGGAAAAATCTGGGCAGTTGTGCCATAACGCCTCAGAAAGATACAGACTGTCTGGAGGACATGTCCACAAAGCAACATCAATAGCCTATGGTTCAATGGATTCCGGGAAGACCTGCTGCACCTGAGAGCTGGGAGGAAAGAGGACTAGGCAAACTGGTTACACAAAAATGAGGGGGTCCAGTTTGTACAGCAAATTAGCAGTATAATGAACTAGTTTCAGGAAGATAATCCTATTCTAGTCCAGGACTCTAGAAAGGCATACCACGTAGCTACCAAGGCCAGTAACAGAGTATTCACCATGTTGCATGTAAATCCAAACATATTACTTAGCAGTAGTAGTAAGCTTAGTAGTACAGACAGAACCTAAGTAGTTCAGACATAGATTGCATTAACAGCTTGACTGGAACTTTACTATCTCTCCTGAATAAAGGGCAGGGTGTAGCCGCTCCGCTATGGGAGCAGACCTGAGCACAAACCATGACTCCTGATTTCTCCCTCCCCCTTGCTCTGGGGAAGGAGTAAGCTAATTCAATTCTTTTCATAGAGCCCTTGGTTCCTCCCTAGCTGCCTAAGTAGCAAAGGGTGGGGGTGGAGCCAACTCCAGGCTTCCTCTCCAGCTATCTATTTGCAGCAGGTTGTCTCACACCAGTAGCCATGGTGCTCCCCAGAGAGTGACAATTTGAGCAGGCTTAAGCAAGAGATTGAGAAGGGCCCTGTACCATTTTGCTCCCAAGAGGCCTAGTAAGGGCTGTGACCAATGTTCCCTCTAATTTTTGATGGGCCGTGCGAGCAAAAAATTTGTGCTTCTGTGCAAATTTTTATGCATAGTGTTTTGCCATTTGCGTGGGGCTTAGGATCTGTGTGCACGCGCACAGCTTAGAGGGAACAGTGGCTGTGACTACATAACCTTTGGTGCACAGTTACTCTAATTGATGCTCACTAAAATAGTAAAAGCAATTCCAAAGAATTTTATGTGTTTCATTCTGAAGCTGCTACGGCCACAGATCTGTATTTCCTCAGCACACTTGTTTTGCCAGACAGCTTAATTAAAGGAGTGTTCAAAACTCACCAATGTTAGAACCTGGGGGAGGCAAAATAATATTTGCTCTGTAAGTTCACAGGTAGAATCCTTCACACAAAGATGACAGGTTTCAGAGTAACAGCCGTGTCAGTCTGTATTCGCAAAAAGAAAAGGAGTACTTGTGGCACCTTAGAGACCAACCAATTTATTTGAGCATGAGCTTTCGTGAGCTACAGCTCACTTCATCGGATGCATACCGTGGAAACTGTAGCAGACTTTATATATACACAGAGAATATGAAACAATACCTCCTCCCACCCCACTGTCCTGCTGGTAATAGCTTATCTAAAGTGATCATCAGGTGGGCCATTTCCAGCACAAATCCAGGTATTCTCACCCTCCACCCCCCCACAAATACCTGGATTTGTGCTGGAAATGGCCCACCTGATGATCACTTTAGATAAGCTATTACCAGCAGGACAGTGGGGTGGGAGGAGGTATTGTTTCATATTCTCTGTGTATATATAAAGTCTGCTACAGTTTCCACGGTATGCATCCGATGAAGTGAGCTGTAGCTCACGAAAGCTCATGCTCAAATAAATTGGTTAGTCTCTAAGGTGCCACAAGTACTCCTTTTCTTTTCACACAAAGATGTAGCCCTTTTCCCATCTTTCTTTACATGTGACATTTCTTCTCCTCCCACCCCCACACTTGTGCAAATTCACTCTCTCATCAGGTGGAAAGTTACAGTTGCACAGAACCTAGAGGAAACAAAATACATAAAACTGTACTGAGGCCACAACACCTACACTCTACCTTGCTCATTCTGTAGATCTCTGGGCATATCTACACTGCAGCCCTAAGTTGACCAATGGTAGGTTGACTTACAGCCACCACAGTAAGTGATGTCCACACTACCCTCCCTCCTTCTGTCAGTGGTGCGCGTCCTCACCAGGAGCACTTCCACTGATTGAAGAGGGGCAGTGTGGGGGGCTGAGAGCTCATCTGCCCCCTAGCTTTCACATCTCCTGCCAACAGCACCGTCCACACCAGCGTTTTGTTGGCAAAACTTATGTTGGTTGGGGGGGGAGAACCCCCCCCGACAAGTTTTTACTTTAAAGTGCTAGTATAAACCAAGGGTTCTAAAACTGGGGATCTCGGGGGTTGCAAAGTTATGTGGGGGTCATGAGTACATGCCAGCCAGCTAGCTAGCAAGTCTGCTGTGAAAAGTGCTCTTAACAAATATAACTAAGTGTTAAATGTAAAAAAAGTTTAATTTATAAACAGAGGCTTGCTGTGTGAAAGCAGTTGCCAGTACAAAAAGTCTGAGAACCACTGGTGTAGACAAAGCCTTAAGTAATAGTTTCTACACACTGCATCACCCTCATTACATTGACATAAGCCCTACAACTCTTGTGGAGGTGGTGGACTTATGGCTGTGTAGTAAGGCACTTACATGGTCAGGACAAGGATATATTTTACGCTAACCTAACTAAATAGAAGCAAGCTGCCTTAGGTCAACTTGTGTAGTGTAGACCAGGCCTCAGACACCTTAATTTGGTAATGAAGTGCCCGTAAGTTCTCACCTAGTTATCTGCCTTTAATAGAGCTGGAGTACTTGTGGCACCTTAGGGACTAACCAATTTATTTGAGCCTAAGCTTTTGTGAGCTTCATCGGATGAAGTGAGCTGTAGCTCACAAAAGCTTATGCTCAAATAAACTGGTTAGTCACTGAGGTGCCACAAGTACTCCTTTCCTTTTTGCGAATGCAGACTAATACGGCTGCTACTCTGAAACCTTTAATAGAGCTGTAGCCAGCAGCCTCCAACACTGCTTGCAGACTCAATTTTAAAAGGTGTAATTGCAGGCTTGAAAACCACCTGCTGGAAAAATGCTGCCAAACAGTCCACTGGCTCATGAGTCAGACTTACAAGATGAGCATTAATGAGCCAAGGATGGGTAAAATGTTACCTAGGGTAGGGCAAGTTCTCCTTTGCCCCTCCTCCACAGAGAGGTTTCTAAACCCTGGTCTAAACTAGAAAATTAGGTTGGTTTAATTGTGTCCATCAGACTGTGAAAAATCCATGATTAAGATGACCCAAATCCCTGTGTGGAGAGTGTTGTGTTGATGGAAAAATTCTTGTCAACCTAACTCCTACCTCTGGGGGAGGTAGATTATCTACACCAATGGAAGAATTCCTCCCATTGGCAGAGGTAGTACCTACACTGAAGTGCTACAGCAGCATATGTTAAGTGTAGACAAACGCTAAGTAAATATCCATCAGCATAACCCTACCAAGCAGCAGAGTTCAGTAGCTGTTCCAGTGTTTGCTCACATAAAGGAGGCTGTCACAGGTACAGAACAGCATTTTGCTGTAACCAAAAATCAATTTACCACAAAAATAGGGTTGTGAGAATTACATACAGCCTGCACTCCTTGAATAAGCACATGGCAAAAATAGCCATTTAGCTCTCTGCTCAAACTGTTAAGTGTTTCTTAGATTGGGAGAAAAAAAAATCCTCTACTAATGTTGATCAAAAGGCTAGTGCCCTAAGCCATACTTTTTTTTTTTCACTTCTGAAATTTTTTTAAATTGCACGCTGTTTAAGTGTCAAAGCTTTACTCTTTTTAAAAAATGGTATATCTGCTAAAGGGCAGAACAGAAATAAAGGACCATTGTGCCTCAAAACATTGAGAACACCCCCGCATAGTATGAAAGCCTAGCCAAAACAGTTGAGAATCAACCCACATCATTGGCCTCCCTAGCATACACAGCCAACTCCTTTCCTCCCAACCTAGTGGAAGGTCTTCCTAGGGGAGGAGAGAATTGAAAATATCTAAATCCCCTGCTGCAATGAGATGTGTGTGTATATAGCTCCTGACTGCGATCAGGGCCTGATTTTAAAGCTCATTGGAAAGACTCCCATTCATTTTAATGCACTTTGGACCCAATGCTTAGAGTTGGAGGAATAGCACGACACAAAAAATTCTAGGTCCTGCTGCTCAAATGTGAGAATATAGGGTCACCTTAGATCTGGGTAAACTATGGCTTTAAAACAGAGTTGGGATATTAGCTTGAGTAGGCCCAAAAAGAGACCAGGAGAATGTTAAACTTAGTGACCCTTCAGAATACCAGTGTTATCTATCTTGAGGTTTGGCCTGAAGTAACAAGTTAATTGGATACCAGGTGCAATAAATGACTATATAAAACTCCCATCTGATCTTAGCTAACACCTGATAATTGGCAATGAAATTACTTGTCTGTTTAAAGGATATAAAAAGCTCAAATTAATTCCTAGCACTGATCTGATCAAGTTGGAGCTGACCAAAATGGATCTAAGCAGCCCTGACTTTACCCAATTTAAGTATCCTGATCAAATGCTTGTTATATTACTGTTGAGGTAATTAATTACCTTTTTGGGGATATTTAGAGCAATTGTATAAATAACCATAAATTCCTTTATTAGATCCAAAGGCTAAATGGTAAACTAGTGTCATGGTAATATTCTGTATAAATTCCAAAATCAAGAGGTGGGGCAAATAAGCAATCCAGTTACTTCTCTCCCACCCTGTATTTTTTTTTTTTTTCCAAATCTTTGCAAGGGCAGAACAGTAGCCCTCTACATAGAGGTAGTGCAAACTGAAACCAACTACTGTTAAGAGTAACTACTGGATAATATCCCTGTTATGTGATAGCAGCATGACCACATGTAAAAGTGACTGAAGTGAACTGGTGCCAGGAATTAGCCTCTTACTCAGTCCTCTAGGTTACATGCTATTACATGGTATAATACTGCCAAATGAAACCACCTGAACTACTCAGCCTGGAAGGGAAGCTGGCAGAGAACCCAAGGTAGTGTCAGCAGTGCTTCCAAGCTTTCCTGGAAGCAAGGTTTTTATAAAGAAAGCAGACTGGTGTGCAAAGAATCAAGCAAGGGAATGGAAGCAGAAGTGGAATGGTGGGAAATAAAGGAGTGCACAAAAGTAGAGACAATGACATGAGCCATAGAAGTCCTGTCTCCCTAGTCCCCTATAATGCAGAACACTAGAAGGTAAACAGAAGGGATGCACAGGACCAGCAACTATGTGTATCAGCCTCTTTCTGCAACCCCCCCATTGCCTTTCACTCGCTAGCTCCCACTCTTACACACATCCCACAGATATACTGAAGCCTGCCAGAAACCCACCTATTTTTTTCAATCTTACCTTTAGGGAGGTGGGGTTTTTTGCAATTTAAAAAAAAATCACTTTATTTTTTAAGTTAATGGCCTGACTGTCACAGGTGCTAGGATTCTGCAGCTCCCATGATCATTAGTGGGATCTGAGGGCAGACAGGACTTCTGTAAATCAGGCCATAAATGTGTAGTGAAGGTACCTAGTCTTATCAGGTACATGTCTTTTCTCAGTGTAATGTGCTGCTGGAGTTGAGCAACAGCAGACAGGTGTTATGTAATACGAGTTATGGTATTTTATGTAAGTGTATGGAGAGCATGCAAGTTTAAAGCTATAGCATATAGCAAGAAGCATATGCAGTTTAGTGGATTTTTTTTTAAAACATGTTGAGACCTGTGGCCTTAATCTGGCAACTGGACCTGACTAGGCTGAGCAATATGGAAGCTAATGGAACTTTGGCAGAGCCTGTGCTCTCCAAATGCAGATAAAGGATTCTTAGACTATATGGAAAGTTAATCCCTCGAATAGGAAATAAGATTAAATTTTTGCCTTTTTGTATACAGCTATCTTCCCCTTTACGTGAGTATCTTTGCAAATTTCAGGGAGCTGAGTTAAGTTCAGTGGGCAGTAGAGGAAGACTTGCACAGTAGTAGTAAAATGATTAGCTCTCAACAGTTCATTTCCAGACTAAAACATTTGGCTTTAAGTTGTACAAGGGGGTGGGAGGGGTGGGGAATGGAGGGGGGTTGTTAACTGGAGTTCCATGGGTTACTTTCAACCTTCTTCAAAATAGCTTTGTGTTTAGGAAGTGTTTTGGGCTTGAAAATAGTTCTCAGCATATCAAAACCACGGAATAGTTATAAGGTGCTAGCTCAGGCTGTATCCATATCCTCTTGTGTGATCAGACTGTTAAAGAGTAAAAAAAAGCTCTGGAGAGTAACACTAGATTACTACTTGGCTAGGGGACCTTTCTAGACCACAGTCAACTCCAAGAAATGTTGACCAGTCAGCATTTGGCACTCTTCCCGCTGCTTCAAATCATCTGGCTTAGAATTAAGGGAGGTAGAGTACAGATAAAGATAAGCCATGGGTCACGTGCTGCTATTTTTTCCTGAGGGCACACGTTAACTGATCATGAAGCCTGCCCTCACTTTTAGAAGTTACATATTACCTGTATTACTCTCCCTGAAGTGTTTATTGGATAACATTGTAAGGAGCTGACTTGCATGTGCTCTGTTTGCTAGAGGGAAAGTAACTTCACTCTACAGGATAATTCCTCTACTACAAACATTCTCCTCTAGCTAAAGTGAGAGGGGCCTGAGTTCTAGATCAGGAAGATCTCCGTTGTATCCCCACTGCTGCCAGGAAGTTCCTAGTAAGGGTCTGCTGCAGCAGCAATAGGATTTCTAGGAACTTAATGGCTAAGATTTGCAGTATATTTTACTTCCTGTTCTGTCATGTAACTGGTATTGAACTGAGGAGAAAGACGTCCATGATACATGAAGAGATTCTTCTGTAGTTAAAGCACTGGTATCCTTAAGCTGAAAGACACAAGATAATTAGTTCAATTCCAGCAGCTGACAACTATAGTCAACTTTAAACATAACATGGGTTTTTCCCATGCAAGATAACTATAGTCAGAAACCAAAGCTTTTTCTGAAGTTTTACTTCAAAAATGATGCCATTTTTCATTGACTTAAAATGTCATAGTTCCATTTTTTTGTCACGTGTTTTCAGTATTCCCTTCTTCCACACTAGAAAAAGGGGGCAGGGGAGAGATGACAGGGAAGAGGCAGCAGCTAAAGAAGTTTGTTAGGATACCTCTTCTCAGTTTTACAACTGGAAAAGCAGTGTTGGGTTTGTTCTCTTCCCTGCCTTTTTCAGTTTCCAAAAACCAAACTGTCAGCTCAGGTTGATTTTAAAACTTTGCTTCAAAATTTCCGGGTCAGAAAACTGACACATTGTCCCTTGAACATTTTCCAATTAAAAATGTTATGGAAAAAATTGAGCAGCTATAACTCCAAGTTCTATGTTCCTTTGATATCTGGGACTCTGCACTTTAGACTTGGCACACAAATGAGCTGATTGTATGTGGGTTTTTTTAAAGTAGCTGTACCTGTATTTTTTTAAACCTTTATATACCTTACAGCTGTCTACCATGACCATGTTGTAATTCAAGTAGGAACCACATCTCTGAATTTTCTATTTTTGTGCACAGTCTCATGTGTGAGCTATTGTTACATTGGGTGTGGATTTGCTTCCATTACATGAGCCTGCAGTGAATTGTTACAATTCACAAAACAATTTCCTGAAAGACAGACAATAAGGCTTTCATTCTGAAGAGCTGCAGTCTCATACTTGCATTTCTACAGATGAACTTGGTTATGTAGATTTCTGCTTACTTTTTCATCTTAACCTAAATACTGTAAAGCCTGGAAGGAAAAGATTATACATGTTCAAATACCTTTGTTTCCTTCCCAGAAAGGGTCTACCTCCACACAGACCATTCTGTTAAGAACACAGTATGCTCACCAGAAACTTAAATTTTATTTTCAAGGACACTTTTTCTTCAGCTGCTCAGTCAGATGAAAGATATGGACTACCACAGTGGTTTTCAAAGTTCAGGTCACGACCCAGTCCTGAGTCACAGAATGCAAGGTAGCCTTGTTCAGCACCCAGGGACCCCAGTGGCTGGCCAATAAAAACTAGTAGTCCTTACCTGTTCTGACACCATGCTGTGCCCTGGAAGCAGCCAGCAGGTCCAGTTTGTAGGCAGGTGGGCCACAGAGCTCCGCGTGCTGCCCAAGCACCAGCTCTGCACTCCCACTGTTCCCAGAGGTGGGGATGGGGGGAGAGCAGGCAGGGAGTGCCTGCAGGTGAGAGCCAGACAGAGCCGCTTGTTCCTCTGCCTAGGACCTGGAGCTGCTGGCTACTTCCAGGGCACAGCGTGGTCTGCGGTGCCAGGACTGGTGGGAAGCCTGTCTCTGCACCCCAGCCGTGCTGCTGACCAGGAGCCACCAGAGGCAAGCCTGTATCCCAAACCCAGAGCCCCTCATCCCCAGGCCAGAGCCCTGACCCCCTTCTGCACCCATCATCTCCAGTCCCACCTGAGCCTGCACCACCAGTCCGCAGCCCTGACCTCCTTCCCACACCCCAACCCTCTGCCCCAGCCCTGTGCCCCCTCCCATGTCCCAAACCCCTCATCCCCAGCTCTGCTGGGTCATGGGCATCAATTTTCTTCAACTGGGTTCCCAGAAAAAAGTTTGAAAACCACTGGACTACAGTCATTTTCACAATTGTGACAATCTAAAGTGTCTTCCTGTCATAAAAGGTTAGATTACACTAACAGTGCAAGTACAGGCAAATGTAACAGGGGCTGAGGTGTTTAGACACTGGAGTGTGTTTACTGACAAAAGCGGTATTAGACTAAACAAAGGATTCACCTCATTTTGAGAAGTGTCAAGCTCCATCTTCAACTACAGCACCTGAAAACTTTTAGCATGTTTACCAAAATGACAGCACTTCCACTATTACAGCACCATCTCTTGCAACACTAGAGTCAGCACTACAGTGTCTGCATGTGAGCCTGTTGTGTAACTTGAAATTATACCCCGTGTTTGAAAACCTAGAAATTACTTCAGATTCACAGTATGACAAAATGAAACTTCTGAAGGCCATGGCAAATTGTGATTAATGAACATCAGATGGCAGCAGATTGACAGTAATAAAGATTGGAAAGCTCCACGGGCGAGGGGGGGTGAATTATGTAATACAACAATCTATTCTATACCACTTCTCATGCACCAGACTTACAAGCCAACTTGATGTTGCAACTGCCCCCTGCTTAAGTTAGCCTTCCCTGGCAACTGCTGTGACAAGAGCATCAACCTTCTTTGTCTTCATGGGAAGAAGAAACCTATTTTCTTTAGGCAAACAAAACATTGGAATCAAAGTAAAACTGTGTATTCCTAAAAATAGGGGATAGCCATGAAGGTGTACAAAGCAGCTTCCCACACATCATCCATTGAAGAAAGTTGTTTCTAGAATCTGCACACCACACTTCACTGTTTGCTGGTCAGGAAGCCTGTCTTAAAGATGAAAAAGCAGTCTGATTCATCTCTGACAACACTGTTCTGTATGTTATCTGCTAAAATATTTTACAGAAGGAAAAAACAAACATTAAGTATTCCATCAAAATACTTACCACTTTTGCTTAATATGAAGAGGTTCCAGCTGCACAGATCTAGGCCAGATTTAATTTGAAAAGCTTAGTCAGCTGTTCTTCAATTATATATCCCAACCCTCTTAAAAAAACCCTTAGGAAACTAGGAAAAGACTGCTGCACTTGGTAAAACTGCTTTTTTGTAACATCCACATACACCTGAAAGAGGAACCATGAGGTGTAAGACATTTTTGCCATTTTGATCCAACAACATACACCATCATTTACCTTTTCTTCAGTGACTAACACAGCAATATTTTTATTTGACTCCAGCTAAAAGAAGGCCTAAAGTACATCCTCTCCATCAATCCCAACTGGTAGTTTTGTAGGAGGAGGGAGAAGGCAGAGTGTTGGCTCAAAACTCTGATCATGGGTACCTGCAGCTTAAAAAGAGGGGCAGGGAAGGAACAGTTGCATTCCATTTCCTCAATATCCGTATATCCTGAAAGAGAACAAATTTAATAAGTGCCTGATAAAGTTACTCAAGAAATCTGTTTTGTACAAAGACTTCATCATACCCAGTCCCTCCCACTGTAGTGCTCACACTATGGCAAACAGACAAGATAAAACTACCAGTTGCTACCATGAAGGCCTGTCTTAAACAGATGCTTGATGTACTCTATCTACTTCCAAGGGCAGCCCGAGTGTTCTTCTGCCCCCCCCCACCTTTTTTTTTTTTAAGCACTTTAACACCACTTTATATGGTTTGGTATGCCAACCTAAGAAGGGATTATGAATAATTTACAGGAGACCTCTACAACTGCCTCCCGCACCCCCACTTGCTGTGAGAAAGCATAGAGATCACCTGCATCCATCCCTGATGGCCTCTTCATCCACCAAGAACCAGCTGAGAGCAGGACCCAAAACTACTATTATCCCTTTCAGGAATTTGACAATCACATGTCATCACGAGTCTAAGTACAGACAGGGCCTCCTTCCTGCATGGTAAAAACAAAACAGCCTGGACCCCTAACTAACAGATGCTATAAACCCTGCCTTTGATGAGGGGAAGGAGCACTATCCACCCTAAAGCCTGCAACAGTGGGCCTAATATTAGAAGGAACCTGTGCTTGAAGCAGGAAGTCTCACAAATTACTACCCAACATCTAACTTCCCTTTCCTAAGCAAGCTAATAAAGAAGTCTCCCAACAATGCCCAACTGCAATCACCACCTGGATGAAGAAGAGCTGAATCCAGCCAAGACTGAGAGAATGCTGGAAGAAAGAGGAGAGAGTCTTCTGGGAACTGATCACATGCACAGCATGGGGAGCCTCTGGCCTCAGATGACGTTGTCCATTGCCTTGGTGTCTTGAGGGACTCCTCAGGGCTACTAAATGCCCACACAGGTACGGTGGGAAAACACCTACTTCCGTGGACGAACGGCAGGAACAGTCCTACGGGACACAGGCCTAGCCACGCATCTGTGGACCCCGCGCTCGATTAGTGCCGCTCATCAGACGCCAGTGGAGCCGCGCCCCCCGAAGACGCGGCGCAGCACCGAACGCAGCAGCCTTGAACCCCCGCTTGCCGTGCGCCCCCGCCCCAGCTCGAGGTTTCTGCCCCCACGGCCACAGCGGGCGCCCCCTGGAAAAGCCCCCCCGGCGCCCCAGGAGCACGGTCACGCGGGCGAGGCCCGGAGCCCGAGCGGGACTAAAGCCGGGGCCCGACTCCCGCCCGAGCCTCGCAGCGACCCACGCGCAGCTCGCGCGCCTTGGCCGGCCTGCAGACCGGCCGTTACGCTTCTTCCCGCTCCGCCACGCGGGCACCACCCTCCGGCGCTCCGCGTCGGGCTGCTGGGAGCCCCCGCGCGCCACCCTCCCAGCCCCGCCCAGCGGGGGCAGCCCTGGGGCTTGCAGGGGGGGGGGGGTCTCCCACGCCGCTCGCTCGCTCACCCGCGGGCCTCGCTCTGATGGGCCAGAGGCCTCGCGCCGCTGCCGTCCGCGGGGCAGAGGGAGCCGGGCGCAACTAGGGCTCCGTCCGGGCCGTTCTGCGCACGCTCCTGCTCGGCAACCGCCCCCCTCCCCCTTCACCACGGTTGACCCCTCGCGGGGGGGGGGGATTTAAGCACGCCGCACCGTCAAGGCTGGGGGAGCGGGTGATAACCGAACGCACTGCGCGGTCTACTGGCCGCCGCGCCCACCCGTCCGTCTGGAGAGAGAGAAGCGGCGCGACCCCCTCGCTGTTTCCTCCCTTTCCTTACTCGACCCTGAGCACTCAGCTCCCGCCCTCCCCTTGCCGACATTTTAATCCGATTTCCCCGGCCTTTCCTCCGCCCGAACGGCGAACCCAACACCACCAACATGGCCGCCGAGCGCCCCCTCTCCGTCTCTCCCCACCCCGTTTTCTCTGCGGCTGCGCGGCGCAGAACCTTATAGGAGTTGTAGTTCTCCGTGTCCCCGGGGCCTGCTGCGAGACATGGGAGCGAACTACAAATTCCAGAATGCCGCACCGCCGATCTTAAGGGGCCAATGGGAGGCTTCCCCCCTTCCCTCCCACCCTGGCCATAGGGATGATGTCATTGCAAAACAGGCAGGGGAGGTTTCTGCACTGCAATTCATTGTGCTACGCTATCGCCTCCTCCCCCTGCTGCTGAAGCGCTCGGGCAGTGACTAAATCCCAAGCAAAGGGGAGGGGGACCATATAGACATCCCAAGGGAGGTGCAAGCCCTGCCCCATGTCTAGGTGATTGAATCCCACGTTGCGTCTTGTTTTATGGTTTCGCAGGGGAAGGGGGGAAAATCCCAAATCCAGGTGAGTTCTGTGATTTCTTGCTATCAACTTGTCTGTAATATGTATTTTTAAGTCAGAAAAGTGCAATTGATGGGGGAGGTTCTGTGCAGGGCTATTTGGGGGGGCATGGGTACCACTGGGGAAAAAATAAACCTTTTTTTTTCTTCTGTGCATTGAGTTGTCTATAAACTGGATTATTATTTGTTAGAGGGGCGGTTGCGTGTGGAAAATCCTTACAGAGCTAGACTTGCCTGCAGAACGATTATCAGACAGTGTTGATTCCCGTTCGTATACAGATGTTGGAGGGGTTGTGTGTCTGGTGTGGAGAGGAAGAAGCAATTGAGATGTGGATTTATTCTAGTTTCAAGCCTTTTTAAAAAAATGCTTGATGCATTTCAAAAGAGCTGATTTATAGGGGAATAAAGTAGTGACTTAAATTTAGTTTTGGAATACTTTATTGCCTTTTTTTCTTGTGTTTAAAAGAACAAATGGGTGATATATTTTAAATAGCAGACTTACTACTGATATGAAATGCTTTCTTTCCCTTTCTCTACACCTTCAGGATAACATATTAGAAATAGCCACAGTAGTAGGCTCAATCATGTTAAAATATGTGTGTAAAAATAAAAGCACAACACACACTTCACATTTCTGTGTCAGTATTCTTTTTAGCCAGTCACAGGATGTTTAAGTCTGACTTGTTTTTATTAAGAATATTCTCTTTTTAAAATATGGTTAATTCTGAGTGTTTGAAAAAGTGAACATCTGTCGATTTTTTTAAAAATTTTTTTAAAACTCTGTTGCAACTTTAAGCACACAGTAATAAATAAGTAGTCATTTGATTATACTTCCCTAGGATACAGTTTTTAGTAACAAATAACTGGAGGGAATCCTGGTACAATTTGCCATCTCAATGTTGAAAATAGCAGCAAATGGGATTGACCTTAATTTGCTATTGCTTAATGGTGCCAAGGTGCTATGAGATAGGAGTGTTTCTGGTTGGTGAGGGACATGGGACTGGTGATGGAAAAGGGAAAAAATATTTGGGGGGGGGGGCCTGGGGCTATTGTGTGTGCATTGTGGATTTTTGTTAAATCTATTCCTTGTCTCTTTCAGGGGAAAAAGTCACTTGAAGTGTGTGACTGGCTCTTAGCTATTTCAGCTTTTTCAGATGTATTTTTGAGTAGTGTGAGTGAATATATACTTTTAAACCAACAGCTGGACTAAATGCTATAAAATTAACTCTAGAATCCAACACAGTTTCACAATGCAGTCCTCACTTTCTTTGGAGACGGTGCAGTGAAGAGTACAGGATTTGGGGGTGAGGGATCTGGGTTCTTTTCCCAGTTCTCTCCTTAGCTCTGTGGGGAAAGTCACTTGCTTCAGTTTCCACATCTGTAAAATGGGGTTAATGCCTGCTTTTGTTACGTGCTTTGAGATGTTTGCATGAATAGTGCTACCATAACAAGTTGCAATATATTATTTATTCTTTTCTAAAACTATATCATCACTGCAATTACAAGTATACTCCAGAGAAATCTACTTTCTTTTGTATAACACTATATTAGCAGCACACACACAGTTTTGCTTCACTGCAGCATTTGCAGCATCTCCCGTCTGGGTCCCTTCAAAGTTTATCTACTCCAGTGAGTGAACCCCCCCTGCCCCCCGCATATTTGCTTCTGCGTTACTCTTGTGTAACTGTGACTGTTTTGTCCTTTGGCAGACTTTCCTTGGAATTGCAATGCTAAGGGATGTGTGACATGAGTGCAATGTGGACAATGAAACTCCCTGTATCTTTTGATTAAAGTGGTTGTAAACACTAACACAATGGTTGTGGAGTCAATGTGTAATGCAGAACATTTTATGTGATCTTATCTTGCAACTAAATTCCTGAGGGGTAAACATTCCTCAGCTAAATCAAATCTCATATTTTTTTATCTCTTCTTTTTCCTTCCTTCCTTGTTGTTGCTAAGTTAAAGGAGAGGAACAGCAGTGCATGCAGTCCAGTTGCCTTTTGTTTTTTAGACTTTTATTTCCTGGAATGGCGTCCCTCTCCCCCTCTTTTTTTGGTCAAGGGAGTGAGTGCGTAATTTAATATACGACTTCTCCTGTTGGCTGTAAGAGAGGAACCTTTACAGCAGTGATTTTGTAGGCTATGAAGAGCAAGCGCTGGAACTGCAGTTTGAAAGTGTATTTGGTAAATTAATGATATGCAAAACCTATATAGTAGGGGATTCATTGGGGGGGATGGTGGTCCCTAATCTAATTACTGTGCCTGTATATTTATGCCCATCTTGCATTCTTATTCATTGTTTTCACATATGCTTGTTTAATCATGTTGCTGAATTAATGAATTTCTCTAAATAATAATGAGTTTGTCTAAAGTGTTAGCATTCTGGTCCTGTATAATAAAATAGCAATAATTAGCGTTAAAATGTACTTTAGAAATTCAGACACCAAGTAGCATGCAGGCAAATGCAATATTTACCAGGATGTGTTGCAGTTTTTGCCTTGGAGTAACAGAAATGTAAAAAGACTTAAAAGTTGGGCATTCAGGAGGTCATCTGTCACCATAAATGAGAAACAAGGTGAGTGAGGTAATATCTCTTATGGACCATCTTCTGTCGGTGAGAGAGACAAGCTTTCAAGCTTGATCCAGTAAAAGATATTACCTCACTCACCTTGTCTCTCTAATATCCTGGGGCTGACACTGCTACAACTACACTGCATGCAACCATGAATAAGCAAAGTCAAGAACTATCAGGTCACTCCTTCTAAATAGCTGGTTTGTAGAAACTTCACGTTTATTTAGTAACTTACATCCTGATCCCACAAAGACTTAGGTGTCTGCATTTACTCATGCAAATAATCCCACTAGATTTAATAGGACTACTTGTGTGAACAAAGTTATGCACAAGTCCACATAATTGCAAGATCAAGGCCTTATTTGCTAAGCATCAGCAATGAGGTATACACTGTATTGGAGGCAAAGTAAGATGGTCCTTCACCTGCAAGTGCTTTGGGACAGGGAAGGTCCCAGTCCCACACTGAGATCTACTGAATCCTACCCTGATATGGAATTGGGGTCTAAAATACAGACACAAATAAGAGAAAGCAGACTTGGAGACCCAAGGAAAGTGCTGAAATAGATTCGTTTCAAGTTTTGCTCTCTCCATCTTCTCCTCTGCTACAGTGCTGGGTGAGAGAAGTTATTTGACTCACTTGGGGGGACGGGGGACGACTTGTGGGAGACATGAGCCTTTAGGAAAGATTTGAATAAAGACAACTTGGTGCCCTGGGACTTAAGTGGTCATCCATATAGGGGCAACTTGGAAGAAGATAAGAAATCAGGAGTGGGAGAAAAATGAAGAGGGTGCTGAGTCTGGCATACCTGGTGTGCCCTTTTCTATTGTTTCTCCCATTAAACAGGTTTTTCCTCTCTTTTTTTTTTTTTTTTTGGACCAGTGTAACTCACTTGTGCATGTGTATTACATTCCCCCCCTCCCCCCCCAGTTCACATGACATGAGTCATGTATGGCTTGAGTGAGGGAGCCTTGCCTCTTTAACTCAAGCAGTAGCAACTCCTGCTCTTTGTTCTGGAGGTCCCCAGTTCTGTCTTCACTGTGTTAGTCAAGATGGCATCTGTCATTGAGAACTTCAGTCATCTAGTGTAACTGTAAGTTGTGGTCTGTCTTACGCAGATTTATCTGTAGCTGTATTGTTTGTGTGCCAGGGAACTGCTTTTTTTTTTTTTTTCCGTAAAATAAAATTAAATGAACAGTTACAACAGGCCTGATTCTACAGTCGAGATTTGGGTACAATCCTTTTTGTTTTTAGGGAAAGATTTGCTTTTTTAGTAAATGGGTCCTAAAATTTGAAAGCAAATGTTGCTGCTAATAGTTGCAGAAATGGCAGTCAGGAAACGTGTCTGAACCTAGCTGGCTTGCACAGGTGTGGTTTGTTTTTCTGTGTGTCCAGATTACAAAGATGTATGTGGCAATGTGAAAGTTAGAGAAAGTATGCATCATAATATAAGTGTATTGATTATAGGACAGGAATTGCATAGGATGGTACAAGGTAGGTTAAAACTGGGAGTAATGGGATAACATTTAAATCAGGGAAAATTGGGACTGGATATCAGGCAAAACCTCTGAGAGTGATACTTTTTTAGATTATTCCGGTCTCGTAAATGGTGACAGCTCCATTACTAAATCACTAACTCAGTTGGAGAAAGCATGAAAAGTAGATTATAGGAACCATTCTGCATTGGTTGGGGGGCATGAACTAGATGACCTAAAAGATCCTTTTTTAGTGTCCAATTTCTATGATATCATCCTGCAGTAAATAAGTTAGTCAATTATTGACATAATTGGTGAGAGAAATTGTGTTGGTTTTTAATGCATGTTTTATAGTATGAAAAATTGTTCTGTCATGTTTGTGATCTAAATGTTTCCTGGACTGTGATGCCTTTCAATTGGACCATGCTTTAAATTTAGGTGAAATCGAACAAATCGAGGCAAATACATCCCTGATAGAACTCCATTTAATTCGTTACAATTACATGAGCAATCAGTTTGGCCCATTAAACTCAATGTTACTATTTAAACATAATTAGACTTGGAAGGCTTTGATTTTTATTGGTAAATGTTAGTAGATGTAGACTTAACCCTCCCCCCCCCCACATTTCCATTGATAATTTAAATTTACAAATAGGCAAAATAAGAAAAATGGTGCTTGTGAACTTAGTTTGATTTAAGGCTATTTTCTTTGTGTATTGTGACATGATGTTGACAATATGTGTTTTTTAATGATTATGAAATTTTAACGTCTTAAATCTCACTGTCATTAGATTATCTGACCCCTTCTGTTTGACCCCTCCATAATTTTCCATAATTGTAAACATTTATATTGATAAAAATCAAAATAAATGCTTACAAATAAACATTGATATTATCCATCAAATTTTATTTAAAAAAATCACATTCTGCCAAGCTCAGATGTAACTGAGAGCAAATTGA